AAGGCCAGAGAGGAGGGGGTGGAGAGACTCAGCTGGGAGCTGGCTGGGAAAGTGGAAGGGAACCCAGATGGGGCTCTGGCCTCCCTGGGGCCCCCCAAGATGGACCTAACTGAAGGGGTCCTGTTGTCTGTACCTGCAAGACCTGTCTTGGACTGTGTTCCTGTTGTCTAAATAATCCTTCTGTTTTACTGGCTGGCTGAGAGTCATGGTGAATCGCAGGAAGCCTTGTCTCCCCCTAACTCCGTGACAGAGGGAACTTGCAGAAGGGAGAAGTAGATCTCTGTATGAGAACACAAGTGACACAAGCAGTACATGGATAGAAGTACAGAACCCCCGCCTCCTGCCCCAGAAGAGTAACCCTAATAAATGAGCACTTGATGATTCCCTGTTCTGTTCATTCCCCCTGGGGAACCTGACATTGGGCACTGTTGGAAGACAGGATACTGGGCTAGATGGACCTTTGGTCTGACCCAGTCTGGCTGTTCTTATGGAGAAATGTGGGCTCAATGGAACTACCATTAAGTGGATACAGAACTGGTGAAACAACTGCAAACAATGAGTAACTGTTAACGGAACGATGTGCGATTGGAGAGGGGTCTCAACTGAAGTCCCACAGGGATCTGTTCTAGGTCCTGTGTTGTTTAACATCTTTATCAATAACCTGGGTAACATTAGGGAGCAGACGGATCAAATTTGCAGATGACAAAGCTAGTGGGGGTTGCCAACACTTTGGAGGATGAAGCTAAAATTCAGAGGGACCTCGATAAATTGGAGAACTGGGCTGTAGACGGCAGAATGAAATTCACGAAGGATAAATGGAAGGTGCTCCACTTAGGGAAGAAAAAACAAATACACAAATACAGGGTGGGGAAGAACTGGCCTGGTAGTTGCACTGCTGAGAAGGAGCTGGGAGTTGTGGTGGATCACAAACGTGACATGAGTCAGCAATGCGATGCTGTTGCAAAAAAAAGGGAATGCAATTTCAGGTTGCATGAACAGAGGCAGAGCATGCAAGTCAGAAGAGGTGACACTACCGCTCTACTCGGCGCTGGCTAAGCCTCAGCTGGAGGACTTTGTCCAGTTTTGGTCATCAATATATAGAAAGGATGCAGAAAAACTGGAAAGGATCCAGAGGTGAGGGATAAAGGGATAGCTCAGTGGTTTGAGAATTGGCCTGCTAAACCCAGTGTTGCGAATTCAATCCTTGACGGGGTCATTTAGAGATCTGGGGCAAAACCCTCTCCGGGGATTGGTCCTGCTTTGAGCAGGGGGTGGGACTAGATGCCCCTCTGAGGTCCCTTCCAACCCTGATATTCTATGAAGTTATGTTGGTATAAAGATGTCCAAAGGGATGGAATGCAAGCCCTAGGGGCACAGCCTGAAGGAACTGGGCATGGTTAGTGTGGAAAAGAGATTAGCGGAGGGGGACATGATCGTGGTTTTCAAATCCTTGAAAGGCTGCCATAGAGAAGCTGGAGAAAAGGTGTTCTCTCTCGCCCCAGAGGGCAGGACAAGGGGCAACGGGTTCAAACTACAGCAGAGACAATTGTGATTAAACCT